TTCAGAAGTTGTAGTGATTCTTTCTTTTCCAAGAAAGAATGTGAAACAAATTGGTTTCATTTTAATATAGTTTAAAATATAATTGAAATTGATTGTACACACTTTAAGCAATATCGTATCGCATACCGAATATCGCATTTTTAACAAGGTATCGCATATCGCTTTTTTTTTCAATATCGCACAGCCTACTAAAGAACATATTATTTCACTGTATTATGCCACTGTCTTCACAAAGAAGTGTCTAGAGTCATGAAGTATTAAGATAACCCATGCTATGAATGACTAAAATAGCCTATAGACAATAATGAGCAATAATAATTCACCACACTGCATATAGGATGATGCGATGACAAATTCAAGCGCACAGCTTCACCCAAATATTTATTAATTTGTTTAGTTATATCATTTATAATTTGAATAAGAGAACAACACCATTAAACTTTGGGTAATCAAAAAAATGGTTTTATTCATTACATCATATAGATCTGATTTTTTTTCTTCTTCAGGAAACGTCCAGACAGACATAGCAACACAGTAGTACGATAGAACAATAATCGATATGGCAAGACAAAAATTAAATAATTAAACCAAAGTTTGACCAATTAGAGTAACGTGAGGCTAAAACATGTAAATATGATACTTAGCCGACCCAGGACACATAACTTGCCATCAGACTCTCCATCACTCGTGGCATTTAGTGTTTCTAATACCTACTAGGGCTGTGCGATTAATCGAAATCGTCATAAAATCGCGATTTGAGCTTGCGCGATTTCTAAATCGCTTTATAGCACGATTTTCCGTGGCCCCGACCTCCCGCAGTATGCTATCCGAACCACTTAGAATGCACGCGCTGAATTAAAGTGACAGCGCATTATTCGCGGTAAAAATTAACATGGATTGACACGGAAATTTAGTAAGTACACCATAAATGCATATAATTAAAGTCTACTGTTTCACAGTCAACACATGGCTTTTTGGCTAGATTTAAAACAAGGAAAAGTGCACTTGTAGATAAACAAGGCAATAATAGATGGCACTCGATTGTATTACTTACTTGTATTAAGATTGTGTTACTGTACTGTGATAAAAGAGAATCACAATGCTGAAAAAGCATTTTCAGAAACAACGTTTGGATCTGAAATCAAAATAATGGATAAATGTTGTGTTTGTGGTAAACAGCCGCGGATCAGGAGCGGACTGCAAACGCGTCCTGTGCGAAAGCAAAATGAGTCCGTGCTGCTTCTGCACCGCATACACATACTGTATACGCACTGCAGACGGAGTACGTGTGAACTTGGCGCAACAAATCTAGTTCAACATCTGAGGCAACACCACAAAGAGCTCTATGACCAATGCAAGGCAAAAAAAATCCCTGGACACAGGATTTTTTTCCCCCCTGCCATATGTCTATTCTAGAGACATTTTGTTACACCTTTAACTTAGTGATTATTTTGCCTTATGTCTGTTCTAGAGACATGTTACAGCTTTTTGATAAAGCTCTAATTGTGGCTGGCAACTTTTTTCAAAAATGCTGGCGGGGAAAGAGTTAATATCCCAATGATTTTTGGCATAAAAGAAAAATCTATAATTTTGACCCATACAATGTATTTTTGGCTATTGCTACAAATATCCCCCAGCGACTTAAGACTGCTTTTGTGCTCCAGGGTCACATCTAGTGTAGTGGAAGCTGAGAAGTAAATGAGTTCGTGCATGTGATGATTGAAATCTTACAGAGTGTCGATGGCGACGGCATCCTCACAGGTCCTGATCCCAGAGATCAACCTGAACGACGCGTTTGACGCCTTCACGCTGGACTTCTCCAGAGAGAAGAAGATGCTGGAGGGTCTGGATTACCTGATGGGTCAGTTCACCGCTTCAGACGGCTTTTCAGCATGCATTAAAGCTTAAACAGAACTATTTCAGTCATGACTTTGTAATGTTGTTGAAAGAAGTCCATTCTGCTTTCTAATGCTGTGTTAATTTGATTAAAAACACAGTAAAAATTGTGAAATATTATTATAATTTTAAAAAGCTGTTTTCTATGTGAATATCTGTTAAGCTGTAATTTATTTCTGCGATTAAATCTGTATTTTCAGCATCATTCCTCCAGTCTTCAGTGTCACATGATCTTCAGAAATCATTGTAATATTCTGATTTTCTGCTCGAGAAACTGATACATTATTTTGCAAAAGTTTGGGGTCAGAAAAAAAGTTATACTTTTATTCAGTAATAATGCATTAAATTGATCAAAAGTGACACTAAAGACATTTATAATGTTACAAAAGATTTCTATTTCAAATAAATGCTGCTCTTCTGAACTTTCTGTTCATCTGTGAATCCTGAAAAATTAAATGTATCACAGTTTCCACAAAAATATTGTGCAGCACGACTGTTTTCAACATTGATAATAATCAGAAATGTTTCATTTAATCAGCATATTATACTGATTTCTGAAGATCATGTGACACTGAAGACTGGAGTAATGATGCTGAAAATACAGCTGCGCATCACAGAAATAAGCCTTTGGGAAAAGAGTTAAACAAACTTAAAAAAAAAAAAAAAAAACTTAATTATTTCAAACTGTTGATCAGTAAATATGTAATCGTTGTTTTTTTGTCCTACTGAAAATAAGACAAAATGTAATTAAAATGATAACTGCAAGAACTATATATATATATAACTAATAATATATACTAATATAATATATTTTACTAAAGAAAAACTATGCAAAACAACTAAATTATAAACAACTATTAAATAATAAATATTAAATATATTATTATATAAATATATTAGATTGTAAATATTAAATGCATTGCTGTTTACTCAACATAAAATAGATCTTGCAGAGCTAGAATCCTTTAGGTCTCGTTTTTGCTTAAAATGTTTCGTGCCTCAAAGGGCAAACATATGGCAAAAATGTGGATGGCGTTACTATTATTAGCATGAAGTGATTTTGTGCAGCAACAGTGAGCTGTTGGCAGAGAAATAAAGCAGACTGTGTGTTTGATGACTCCCTCGAGCCTCAGAAGGAAGGACCTCGCAGAGATGAAAAACATATTTACTTCAGTCCCTTCTGCTCCTGTGAGAAGCACTGAAATCTGACATCTACTGCATCTACTTCACACACCACGCTTCGTCAAGATTGGCCTCGATCTTGGATTTTAAAAACATCGTTACTGCGTTTTGTCTGATTTTTGGCACAGATGAACTCCATAAAGAGTAAAATTTTGGTTTTCACAATCATTACAGAGTTACGGCCTTTAAAGGCAACCGTGTTGGTGAAAGAAATGGACGTCTGGCTGTATCTTTAAATGCTTTGTCGTATTTGAAAGAACCGGTAATGCCTTATTCTGAGGGTTTCTGAGATGTTTGGTAACAGCGCCACTCGATGGCAAAAAAAACACACTCTGAGTTGCATTGAAAAATTCATGCATTGGCAGCAGTTGAAGTTCAGTCAGTGTGATGTGTTGATTTAAACCAATTCAATTTTGTGATGTCCATCAGCATTTTGCCCCATAAAAAAAAAAAAAAAATATATATATATATATATATTTCCTTTATTTTTGCTTCGAAGAATGTATGTGTATGTAATATGTATGTGTGTATGTATGTTTCTTTTCCCCCTTTTTTTTTGCTCAGGATTATGTATCTTAAATAAATAATAAATAATACAAATAATATATAAAATTAAATAATACTAAATAATATATATATATATATATATATATATATACAATTTTATTATTTCAAGAAAAAAAATTTATGGTTCTAGTTTTCGTTTCAGTTTTAGATTTAGTTATCTATAATAACACTGAATTTATTTATTTAATTTATTTATTTTTGCTCAGGATAATGTATTCGTAAAGGCAAGGGGTTGTGTTTTATTGTATTATTGCATTTATATAATAAAAGAAAAAAGCAGTTCGGGTTCTCAGTGTCGCCGCGTCGGCAAAAGTGGCAGAAACATTAACATAAACGATCATCTTCTACAGTATATTTTCTATTTTTGGCTTAAACGCGGTCACATCATTTCTTGCTCATGAGGAACAGCTATAGTAGCTAGTACTGACATCCAGTGTAATGCCACAGACATTTGTTTACATGGGACTGTGTGTCTGCACAACAGCTGCACATTAGCAATGCATTAGCACTGGCGTCTGCATGCGGAAAGTGTGTTTCTGGCCCTTTGCATGCAGTATATCTGCATACGTGTGACCTAACCTGACATAATGACTGAAATGTTTCCGTCACAGCTCCGAACGCTCCCACTATCCGTGAGGAGCTTTGCACAGCGTCTCACGACACCATCACAGTGCACTGGACATCCGAGGACGAGTTCAGCGTGGTTTCATATGAGCTCCAGTACACCATCTCCACCGGCCAGACGAACGTCGTCAGTAAGTGATCGAGCCCAAACTCACTCCAGATGACCGTATCTGTGCGTAATGCTGCAATAATCATCTAATAGCTAATATTATATAGTAATATGTAATATCATCTAATATTTGTATTAAATTTTATTTCAGCTTATTATATTGTTTTTTATTTAATTTAACTTTATTTCAATTCATTAATTAAATTTTTAGTCGTTTTAGTCGTTTTTTTCTTTATGTTTGGTGACTTTGACCTCATAATAATTATTATTTATGGATGGATGAATAAATATTTAGTTTTTATTTCAGTGTTAGTTCTAGAAATTTTTGAACTGAAATAACTGAAAACATTGTTATTTGGCAACATGTTTTTAAAGTTTAGGTTTTTCATAAGATATTTTTATATCAGCTAATTAATTAAATAAAGTTTTAATAATATTATTAGGTTTTTTTTCCTTTATGTTTAGCGACTTTGACCTAAAATTATTTAGGATTTTCTAGATGGATGAATTAATATTTAGCTTTTATTTATTTTTATTTCAGCTTTAGTTTGATTAATTTTAATTAATTTCAGTTCATGTTTTTTTTTTTAAGTTTAGGTTTTTCATCAAATATTTTTATTTTATTTGATATTTTATTATATAAGTTTTATGATTTTTATCGGATATTTTTATTTATTTATTATTTTTTACTTTATTTTATTTCAGCCTTATTTCAGCTTTATTTCAATTAATTAATTAAATTAATTTTTAATACTTTTAGTGTTTTTTTTTTTCTTTATGTTTAGTGACTTATTTCGACCTAAAATTATTTAGGATCTACTGGATGGATAAATGAATATTTAACCTTTATTTATTTTTATTTCATTTTTAGCTTGATTAATTTTAGTACTTAAACTTAAAACATATTTCAGTTCATGTTTTTTTAAGTTTAGATTTTTCATACTTTATTTTATGTTATTTTTAGCTTTATTTCAGCTTTATTTTAATCAATGAATTAAATTAATTTGAAATTATTTTAATATTTTTTTGTTTGTGTTCAGTGACTTTGACCTCATAGTAAAATTATTTTGGATTTCCTGGATTTAACTTTTATTTATTTTTTATTTCAGTTTTAGTTTGATTGACTTTAGTACTTCAACTTAAAGCATATTTCAGTTCTTGTTTTTTTTTTGTTTAGTTTTACATTGAAAATTTATTATTTTTATTATTTTATTTTTAATTTTAGCTTCATTTCCATCTCCACCGGCCAGACTCAGGGTTCCCACGCTTCTTGAAAGTACTTGAAAACAAACATAGGTCCTTGAAAGTGCTTGAATTAAATTTGAAATAAATTTTGTTTATGGCGCTATTTAAAAAATTGTCCTATATGTTCTGTCGAGCAAGCGGCACTAATGATTGGGGGTGGAGATGGGGGAGCGCGAAAAAAAAAAACGTGTGTGTTGACGCACAGCCTAGAGACCTGAGCGGGACAGTTTTCTTAAGCCCGCTCCCGCTGAATTTCTGACCATTACCGCCC